TATTGAGTGACTTGATAATCGACTCAAAAAACTTTTGATCTAAATGAAGGCGTGTTTCATCGTATATGTTTCGGTCTTCATCAAATCGCTTGTTGTAGTACATTTGTAGAGCACCTTTTCGTTTTTGAAATAGCAACCACTTTCTGTCAAGATCCATGATAGCCCAAACCACCTTGTGCCACCTCAGCATGGGTTTATCATCAGAGAAATCTTGATTCTCCTCATCAGCTACTTGTATATCCTTAAAAAGACTAGGACACTCCTCCTTTCTATACATAGCAATAAAAGGAACCTGATACAAGAGGAAATAATTAAAAGAAACAAACTTCACAGATCCCCACAAAAAACACAGATAACATGCAACACTTACATCTAATTTCTGAACATGCACAAGCTCTAAAAACCTTTTAATATCGTCTTTAAGTATAGGCAACTCGTTTCCTTCTTCAGTTGCTGTGCTTGTACTACCTCCTTTGTGAAACCAAGGTACCATACCCATTTTGAATTGATTAAGAATCCAGATGCTCTCCCTGTCTATGCTCATATCATGTGGTGGTAGAGGACCAGTGGTTTCCTCAGAAATCTACAACAAAAAAAAAGAACTTAAAAAAATATGGAGCCCTTGACTTTATCTCCAAAAACCAAATGGACACAGTGGGAAAGTAGAAAAGACTTGTTAGCATCAAACCTGCATTCTTTCTGGAATATCTGTCTCCCTGATATGCTCATCCTTCTTGGTCATGTACTTCTCTGGAACAAGAATTGGTTCAAATTCATCTTCGACCTTTTTTTCCTTCGATTCATTGGGTTCACTGTATTTGCTAACATTTTCTGGTCCCAACTTGTAGATGTCATCAAGACCACCAAATATGTCATTAACACTCTGCCTTGAAGAGTGTCCTGCAGACTTCTTTGATTTTTTCTTGTTAGCTTTGACACTCCTGCATGAGGGTTTAGGGTTTAGGGAAATCATGTGGGAAATAAAACACAAAGAGAAAACATCCACATTACTACGAAGCAGCAAAAGCCACACCTCGATGGAGCAGCAGGTTCAGTTTTTTCGACTTCTTCAACAATGAAATCGGCCATTTCATCCTCACTGAGCAAAGCATCCTTCCCCTCATCCAGCAGATCTTCAGAGCTATCACCTACAAATAGACTAGAAATTGTGGGCAATTTGGAAATATCTCAAATAAAAAAGCAATCTATTTCATTGCAATCAAACAATAAGTTTTGGTGTATTTAAAATCTACCATCATCATCCCCAAATAAAGTACGTGTTAGCTTCTCCTTAGCCATTCCACTTCTGTCATATTCTTCCGTACCAAAAACCGCTGATGGTCCTTCATCACCATCAACTCTTGCTTTCTTCAGCCGCTTGAAGTTTTCACTTTCCTAACAGATTCAAAAGCATAAAACGGTCAAAGAATGAGAGAAAGCGTTGAAACATGAATTAAAGTCTTAAATTATAAAGTGAAGAAGCAAGAGACTTACAAGTTTTGGGCGATGATAGCCAGGGATGTTTTCTTGAAGGAGCTCATAGTCATCTTCATCCAGAACATAAGTCTTCTTTGATTCTCTTCAAAATTGGCAACACAGGTGTCAGAAAGGTAGTAATCAGTAATGCATCAACAATTAACGGTAGAAGGTAAAAATATTTACCTCTTTTTCTTCCTCTTCTTTTGCTTAGCATCATCGCTGTCCTCTCCGACCTCATCTTCTTCAAGATCATCCACTAAGAAACCGTCATTCTCATACTGGTCTGGTGAAGGCAAGAACCACAATCATATCAGAACATGAAGCTGAATATGAATGTAAATAGAGTAGAGAGACATCTGTTACAGATTGTGTTAATAAACATAGAGTGATCAAGATAAGAAATTATAATTTTGCATGCATATAAGTGGTAGCAAAAGATCTAGAGTAAACAAGTAATGCTCTACCAAAACAAAATACACTGGTACACAGACGGAACAAGTACGCGGTAAAGAAACTTCAGAGAATCGGAACCATGAAAACAAACAAATACTCAAAATCATGCAAAAAAATCCATACCATCGTCTTCATCGTCAAGGTCTTCAGGCTCTATCCTCCGGTCGACTTTGACTTCTATCACATCGATACACATAAATATGCATGCACATAAGTAGGAGAGCAAGATGAAAGAAAAATACTCGGTAAATGAAAATATAAATCCGATGAGGTCACCTTGTTTTGACATTCTGGATTTTCTGCCCATTGTGCGACTGTGTGAAAAAAACAGAGGAATGAAAGCAAAAACCCTAAGAATCCACAGAATATGATGGAATTCGAGGAAACCCTAAACTCAAACGCTTGGAAACAACTTCTAGTCAGGGGGTTTCTACAGGAAGGTTGAGAAGATGATTCGATGTGCTGGAAATGAGTTCGTTACTTTATGTGATCAAAATGTAGTGAAAATCATTTAGGGTTTTTGTGTATACTTTCATTTGGACAGTTTGCTACTATAAACTTCACCGTTCATTTTCGTGAAACCACAATCGTTAATCCATCAAAGAGATCGTCTCCAAAAACATAAAACCACCATAAGAATTAAAAGAGGCTCGAGCACAACATTTTCATGAACGTCTTCGTACCTCCACCATCAGCGATTTGAAAAGGTGGAAACTAGTGAAAACCCTATAATAGTCCAAATGAAGAGAGAGGTTTTGTTTATTTCAAAGACGTTGTACCTGTCTCTAACACTAGGAAAAAGTAAAAACCCGGAAAATAATGATTAACGTATCAGTTTCATTTCGCCAAAAAGTATTCAACAAAATCATTAAATTTTTTTTATAGAAAATAAACAAAACATAAAATTAGTCTATTGAGATTTATTTTAAAAAAAAAAAAAAAAAAAAAAAAAAAAAAAAAAAAGGTGTCTACAATCTAAAAAAATTTCAACTTGTATAAAGAGGTTCAAAAATAAAAATAATAAAAAAGTGGTTTTGATCCATGATACATTTGAAAAAATCAATTTTGTCCTTTTCATTTCATTCTTCTATTTTTTTTATTTTTTTTAATATTTAAATAATTATAAAAAATAAAAAATAAAACCCCACCCCACCCCTCTCCACCCGTAACCCTCTTTCTCTCTCTCAACCACCTGCAATTTGCAATTTTGATATACTTGGATACTGAAAAAGAACCCAAATCTCACTAACGTAATCAAAAAGTTAAACTCATATCACCATTTTTACATCAATTGTAGAGATTGGTCCTAGTAGGAGCACCAACAAAACGTAACAAAGTCTTGTTGATCATTTCTTCACAACTTTACCTTCAACCCACAAACTTTTAGCCCTTCGAAGTGCATCAACTTTCTTCAACAAATCAAAATCTAAACATTTCTTCTTCAACTCTTCCACACACTTCCCTAGTAACTTCTCATCTTCTTTCCCCCTCTCTGGTAACTTCTCCATACGCAATTCCATATGTTTTGTAACGAACAACCCAAATTAATCCCAGATAACATAGGAGCGAACACAACAATTTCGTTTTTGTACCAAAAAACAATTGTCGAATAAATTTAACTAAAAAACAATGATTTTAACTGAGAAATTGGAATTGGGAATGACGAAATGGGTGACTTACTGATGAAGGGGAGGTACATTTTGATTATGATATGTTCAAGGAGTTTGATTCCATCCATGTTTGGCATATGAACATCGCTTAGAACTATATATTGTCTGTTTTTGTTTGTATGTGTGTTTAATATGGTTAAGAACCCTAAATCCACGACTTGGCTTTAGGTTTACAAACCCTAACAAACATAGTGATTGAAGATGATTGGTGACCAGCTGGATGGAAGGTTAAGGATGTGTGTTAGATCATGTAGAAAAAGAAAAGAGTCGGATAGAGAAAAAAAAGAGGTGGAGAGAGATGTTCGAGATAAGAAGAAGCCATGAAGGTACCATCCAGTTTCATTATCAGATGGGAAGTGTAACGTGATGGGTTTTAGCCATAAGAACTTTCCTATGTGCGCATGCAAAACCCTAATGCTCGGATCTAGGCTTTCTAATTAAACATGCTTTGAATCCAAAACTTCTAATGGCTAATTAGGTTAAATAACAACATTGAAATAGATCTAGAATCATACCTTTGGATTCCTTGTTGATCTTGTTGTCTTGGAGCTTCTAGAGTCACAAACGTCACTCCTCTAATG